GTGTTCTGCCAGATAATAAAAAAATAAAATGAGGAGTAAGAAAAATCCATAAAGGTGTATATGAACTTAAGCAAAGTGAATAGTAGCTACAACATTTTGGGGATATAGATTTTAAGGAACTAGGTGATATAACAGTCGGAGATCAAATATAACAAATGGAAGATACGAGGTAAATAAATGTATTATAACATGATGAGATTTGCTACAAAACTGATCTAAAATGATGTTAAATTTTCTCCTTGATTAGTCTCAGTTCAGAGCTGAGAATAACAAAGATCACTGATGATGCCGATTACAAAATATGGAAAATGTTTGAAAGTGTAAGATGTCCATTTTCAAACAGAAAAGTTTTGATAACAAATATAGAATAACAGTAGGATAATATGGGTTCATTTTTGATTCACTGAGAATCGTCAATTTCGCGAAAATTGAATTAGGCTATTTTAAGAACAAATCAGGTCTATACAATTTTATATCCCTTGACAATTACATGTATTTCGCTTTTTAGAGATACTCAAAACTTAGTGATCAAGTAAAAATTATAATTAGCTTAGAAGCAAGATGTGTAATTTTTTTATTTTTCGCAATATAATCTTTTGCCTCACATACGAATAAAATTAATTAACATGAACAAGTTTAGTTGGCATTATTTTTCTTATTAAAAAAAACTATTTCAATAACTTTTATATTTTTATACATGCATATCCTATAATCGGATGGGTTACTTCTTATTTTGATTGCATTGCTTAATGTAGGCAAGAGTAAGTTAATAAGAGAAATTAAATATGCAATTCACATAATCAACCAGCAGTTACATTACAATACTGAAATTACTGCGAGTTTGTCATAAGACGGATATAATTCCAATTGTATACCATAATTATTATTGGATAGTTTCACATGAAAAAAATTAGTATTTTTAATTCAAAAAAACAAATTTAAATATATATTCATAAACTATACCATCATTATGTACTAGTTTAATCATAGGCGTAAAATCCTATTCGACCTAATTTAACCAGTGTTTGTCAATACTTTATTATTTTATGTCTAGATAAGCGCACTTAATGTCTAGCCTTGTAAAATTTGACTATGAAATTTATATAAGTTAACCAAGATAGATTAAACGAAATAATAACTAAGCTTATTTGAAATATTTTAAATGATCAAGTTATATATTAAATATGAATTTTAGCAAAGCTGACACTCAATGCACTGAAATCATATGGGCTTCTTATCAAATTCTGATATCTGCATTATATATTGAGAATAAGGAATAAATGAATCAATTTTAACGTTAGTATCTAGAAACAACTGTCTATGAGAACATTGCAAAACATGGGAAAAGATTTTCGTCTTTTTATCTCTCCTTACATAGTCCCCATGCCAAAAGTATTTTTATTATTCTAATGTTATTTTCAATAAAGCCTAGGGGATATGTATTCTTAAATGATATTAGCTAAGGTCCATCTAGCTTATTATCGCATTAGTTTTTATCGGCTTATCTTGCATTCCCAACACTCATTGATTTTAAAATAGCAACCACCGTTTTTTAAGTATGTTTGGGTAAAAAGGTAAGGATAAGGCAAGAATTTACTCTATTCTCATTTATATGCCTGCCCAACTCCTATTATACTCTGACAATTAAACAACTAAAAGTGATAAGCAATTATCTTTATTCATTTGCATAGTAAACATAATACTACGATATCTTTTTTAAGTTAGGAACACGAGGTTATCAAATTTATCCTTAACATTCTGAAAAATTGCAAAATAATCAGCCATATTTTTCCTTATAAGTATTTGAGATTACCAGTAGATTATATACATGTAATGTAATCACCCTAGTTTGCTAAGGTGATAAAGGGTTAATAATTGAATTTTTCCACAATCTAATTAAGAGGTCCCCTATTTCCATCTAATATAGTATAATCTTGCTTTCTAAAAGGTATTCTCTTATCTTGGCTGGAGTTCGTTGCAGTTTTAATTTCGCCTCAGCTGGTCTCATCAACACTTCTAGCGAGAAGTAAACCCGAATTTTAGTAGTGAAATCGACATTCGACACTTTAACCACTTCCCCGCGTTGTCAAAAGTGCCGACGGATGACCAGACATAAGTGAATACCTTGAAAACCTAGGCCTTTCTTGTATTACATTTCATCAAATGGTTATAAACCTGGCCTTGTTTAAGATTCACATCTGCTTTTGAACCTGTGATGCAGTTGTTAAGGCGTCGGGATTATGCCCTGGACTACCACAAGTCGGGTTCAATTTCCGTTGGGGGAGCCGATGAGATCAGTTCCGACGAGATCGAAGATAAAATTCATTACATTCAAGTTAGGATGATAATACCTTTTGGGAAGTAAGGATATGTGAAATTTGATAGAAGCATAAGGCCTATTTGTGGCAAAATACAACTATTAGTTCTTTATTATTTTATAAAAAATAGAGTGAGCACATTTAATATATAATAACCCCTCTCTCTGACTAACATTATTGCTGACAATTTTACTTCTTCAATAAAGCAGTCTTCTATTTTTGGCATGTAATTATTCACTATAATGGGCAGTAAACAAGATACAAACCCTTGCACTCATTAAGAAAAACTATCGACAGGGATAAAATATGTGCTACTCGTAAATATTATAATGAGTTTAAATGTTGAACATATGCTTATATATATTTGTATAAGAGTAGGGTTTCGAGACTACCAGTAAATCAGTGTAATTAGATATATTCACCCTTTTTCGTCGAAGGACTGGTAGTAGAATTTTCCCACAATGATATGAGTTGAGCTGACGTTTTCCATTGAATTTCACATATCCTTGCTTTCCAAAAAGTTTTTCTCATACAGGCTTGACTGCAATTTCTACTACCAGTCCTTCATCACCTCAGACGT